TGTGTGTGTGTGTGTGTGTGTGTGTGTGTGTGTGTGTGTGTGTGTGTACACATATATATATATGTATACAGGCTTGAAAACTACAGACCCCAATGGCTTCACTTACCACCTAACGTTTTGTCCTGCCCATGTCAGTGCAATTTTGTACCAATTTCCACAGGGAATTAGCAACATGGGGTATAATAAGCTGGCATATTCCCTACCCCAGAACTCCTGAAAGTATCTAATGTTATAGGAAATATCTAAACTCTCTTGCCATAAAGTATACTTAGAAGTTTTATCAAGAAAGACTACATAGTACGTATTAAATGTTGACTTGTGTGATGCAAATAGATACTATTCTGGGCCACCAGTAATGCCATGGATACCTCATCTCTGAGCACAGAATGGGAGGCTTGGGAAAGGGAGGAGTAGCATTTTGTTATAAATCTCACAGGTGCCTGGAGATTCTGGAAGGTCACTGAGTGAGCTGACGTGCTGACTTAGTGGTATCCAAGGCTCAAGCAAGGGGAAAAGTCCACCCTGGAATGAGGCTCAGCTTGTAACAGAGCCAGCCCTCCAATGTGGGAGAAGAGAAGAAAATCACATGCGATGCACCCAGGAGAGGTGTCTCCCCAGCCCACCTGTCCCATCCCTCAAGGTCTCCACAAGAATGGACTCTGCCTCCTGCTTTCGGTGGGTAAATATTTTTCACTGTGATAACTTAACTTTATATAAGCAGAAATCAGTTGTAAAACATACTGAAAATATATATATACTGGAAAGCAGAACCACATTCAAAATACCACAGCAATTATATTGCATCTAAAAATACACTTAATGAGAAAAACACAAGCACTTTGTATGAAAATGTACTGAAAGGCATTTTCCAAAGACCTAGAGTGAGAGATGATATTCTTGGAGTGAAGACACACACTGTGTATTTCTTTACTCTTGCCCAAATTTATTAATATAATGCAATTTCAATCAAAATCCTAATAGTTATTTTAATTTAACAAATTGATCATTAAGGTCATTTGGAAAGCAAATGTGCAAGAATAGTGAAGACATATGTGAAAGAATAATACTGTCGGGAACTTGAGAGCAAGTTCCAAATGTTGAAATGTATATTAATCTAAAATAATTCAAAGTTTGGTACAGATTTGGTCAGGGTATAGAAATACCTGAAATGGCCCCTAGAGGGATAAATAAGACCGAGAGGCTAAGGGGACCCAGGACGCCAAAAAGGGGACCCAAGAAGTCAGAGGGATGAGCCGGAACGGGAGCCTAGGATTTATACAGCAGATTGCTGGTATAACAAGGTCTGTCTGTTGTCTTGGCCCATTTAGATACGTGAACAGAAAAAAACTTTACAAACTCTTGCCCCTCATCATTAAAAAAAAAGGCTATGCTACCAGCAAAGATACAGGCATAGATCAGTGTAACATAATGAAATATAAAGAACACCTATTACATACAATAATTTAGTGAGTAGAAAGTGGCTTTTCAAATCAAGGGGGAATAGATAGACTATTTTCCAAAGGTTGTTGGAAAGTTGCCTACCTGTTGGGCAAACTGATGATAGACAGATAGATAGACAGATGATTCATAGATAGGATACCTACATGCATATATACCTATTTCACTCCACACATAATAAAGTTTCAGTGGATTAAAAATCTAAATGTAAAATAAAGAACTGTGAAACTACTAGAAGAAATATGAGAGAATTATTATGACTTGGAGGTAAAGTAGACCATTTTTTTAAATGTTACAAAAAATCCAGGAGTCATTAAAAGGGGAATGGGTTTGATGAGTTTGGCTACACAAAAATTTTAAGTCTCATATTAAAATAAGTGCCTGATTAAGGAAAAATAGTTACAAAATGTACAACTGAAAAAGTATAAACACCCCTAATATATCAAAAGTGCCTACAAATAAACAATAAAAGCATCTGACTTTAAATGAGTCAAATTTTAAGTAGGCAATTCACAAAAGAAATACAAATGGCCTATAAACTTGAAAAAAGATTCTCTTTATGATCAAATAAATATATATCAAAGCAATATATTCCCCACTGGACTGAAAATAGGTTAATGAGATTGTGGGAAGACAGTACTCTCAGCCATTCATAGTAGAAATGCAAATTGATACAACCTTCTTGGAAGGCAATTCTATAATACACTTCAAAGATCATAGTCCTTGACCCTGCATTCTACTCCTAGGAATTTCTCATTCAAAAATATTCTTTCATATACTCGGAAACACATTGCCACATGATTTGTAATAGTAAAATTTGGGGAGGAAACATATATATATTTGAATAAATTGTGGTAAAGCCATATAACTGAATCTTCTTCAGCCATCTAAAGGATCTAAAGGATGAGTTAGATCTCATCCTATCTAGTAACAGTGATATGAACAGATCGTCCATAACATGAATATATACTGACTGGCGCTTCTGATCTGAATTCAAGACTATGGGGTTTGCACATAACCACTTTTATATTACATCTGTGTCTTCTTTCTTCCACACAAAGAAAGAATATTGATTCTCAAGACTCGGGAGATGATCGAACCTGAATAGCTCATAATTATTTCTTTGTTTTATTGCACATTACACACATAATAATTTCAGAGTAATAATATTAATACTACCATCACCAATACGATTACTGAAAGTTAAAAAGAAATTCTTTTTGGTGCAGCCACTATGGAAAACAGCATGGAGGCTCCTCAAAAAATTAAAAATGGGGTTTTGCCATGTGATCCAGCAATCCCACTCCTGGGCATATACCCAGACAAGACTATAATTCGAAAAGATACAGGTACCCCTCTGTTCACAGCAGCACTATTTACAACAGCCAAGACATGGAAACAACCTAAATGTCCATCAACAGATGAAAGGATAAAGAAGATAAAATGGTATATGTATCCAGTGGAATATTAGCCATCAAAAAGAATGAAATAATGCCATTTACAGCAACATGGATGGACCTAGAGATTATCATACTAAGTGAAGTTAAGTCAGAAAGAGAAAGACAAATATCATATGATATCACTTACATGTGGAATCTAAAATACAATACAAATCAACATATCTATGAAACAGAAACAGACTCACAGATATAGAGAACAGACCTGTGGTTGCCAAGGGGGAGGGGGCGTAGGGGAGGGAAGGAATGGGAGTTTGGGATTAGCAGAGGCAAACTATTATACATAAGATGGATAAACAAAAAGGTCTTACTGTATAGCACAGGGAACTATATTCAATATTCTGTGACACACCGTAATGGGAAAAAGAATATGAAAAAGCATATATATATACATATATATATACACACACACAACTGAGTCATTTTGCTGTACATAAGAAATTAACACAACATTGTAAATCAACTATACTTCAATAAAATTTTTTTAAAAAAGAATTTTTTTTCCATTTTATCTTCTTATTCTCCTCGCACTTTTATAGCTGCAATCTATTTACACTGTCAGAGAATTTAGCCAACTACACACTATTCTCTCTCCCATTAATTGTTTCTTTTTTGTTAGTTCTGCAAGTAATTCTATACTTAGAGCTTACCACAGTTCCTTACATTAATGTCTCCGTAGTTAATTGGGCAGTTTGAAGGTCACGTGCTAGCACAGTCCTCAAAAGTATTAAATTTCCTGCATTCCTGCATACGGATAATAGTTTGTTCCCTTTTTCACTTGAACATCAAGGGCTGGTGGACACAAGCTCCTTGGCTCACACACTTTCCTCAAGTACGTTAAATGTTACTAGCCATTTTCTCCTGGGAAATTAAGCATCACTTGCCAAAACTCTGATAATGATCTAATTTCATTTCCTTTAAAGTCACTAGGTCTTTGGGCCTAGATACCCACAGGATTTTTCTTTTTTTTAGGGTCCAGTAATTATATTAGAATATGTCTTGGATTTAACAGTTCTGTGTCAATATTCTCAGGAATAGAAAATATGAAACATATTTTCAATCTTTAAAGTCCAATTTTTTTTTTTTTTTTAGGAACGTCTTCTTTTTTTAATATTTATTTATTTATTTATTTATGTCTTCATCAGGTCCTAGTTGCAGCACACAGGATCTTTTGTTGCAGCGCGCAGGCTCTTCATTGTGGCACACAGGCTCCGGAGCACATGGGCTCTGTAGGTGCGGCACACGGGCTCTCTAGTTATGGTGTGTGGTGTCAGTAGTTGCCACACGGCACGTGGGATCTTAGTTCTGCACCAGGGATCAAATACGCATACCCTGCATTGGAAGGTGGAATCTTAACCACTGGACCACCAGGGAAGTCCCAGGAAAGTTTTCTTGAATTATGTTTTTTTCTGTTCTTTTGCCTTGGTTTCCTTCTTCAGGGACTCCTATTGCTCCCGTGTTGGATTGTCTTTGCTTATCTTCAATATTTATCTCTCTTGAATACCTTTTCTCCCCTATTTTCCTTCCTTCCTTCCTTCCTTCTTTCCTTATTTATTTATTTATGGCTGCATTGGGTCTTTGTTGCTGCATGCGGGCTTTCTCTAGTTGTGGCAAGCGGGAGCTACTCTTCATTGTGATGCACAGGCTTCTCATTGCAGTGGCTTCTCTTGTTGCGGAGCATGGGCTCTAGGCGTGCAGACTTCAGGAGCTGTGGCATGCAGGCCTCAGTAGTTGTGGCTTGCGGGCTCTAGAGAGCAGGCTCAGTAGTTGTGGCACACAGGCTTAGTTGCTCCGCGGCATATGGGATCTTCCCGGCCCAGGGCTCAAACCCATGTCCCCTGCACTGGTAGGCAGATTCTTAACCACTGCACCACCAGGGAAGCCCTATTTTCCTTTCTCTTTGATTTTTAATTTCTCTCTCCTGTCACCTTCTATTTCTATTAAGATATTTATATTATTTTCGGTTCCTTACAGTTTAGTCTTTATTA